TCGCTGGGCAAGGAAGGGAAGAGCTACCTGGACAGCGTGGAGGAGAGCCTGCAGTCGCAGGCCTGCAGCCCGGCCCGCTCCTGGGCGAGTCTCGGGCCCGTCGCCAGGCTCCAGAGCCACGCTGACCCGCACGCTGGCGGGTCGAGGGCTCCCACGCCGGTACCTGAGCCGCTGCGGACCGAGCCCGAGACGGAGACGCCCACCGAGGGCAGCCGGGCCCCCGACACCGACACCGGTAAGCCAGTCGCCCCACGGCGGTGCCCGGACAGCCCCCTGCGCCTCCCGCTGGCGCCGCTCTGACTCTGTCTGTGTCCAGGTGCGTGCCAGGAGCCCGTCAGCCTGCAGGCCTGCCAGCGCGTGGTGAAGGAGCTGCAGCAGGCGCTGAAGAAAGCCGTGTCTCTGTACTGCCAGGTGAGCGCGCGGGCTCAGTCCTGCCCCTCCATACGTTGATCACACAAGCACATCAAGGGCGTTGGCCTACAGCGCTCAGCAGCCCTCCCTCTCCCCTCCCCAGCTGGCGGCGGGCGGCGCGGAGCAGCAGATGAAGTCCGTCCTGGCCGACGCCTTCTCGGCGGTGCAGACGGAGCTGGAGGCCGTGCGCGGCCCCGCCCAGGCCACGCCCTCGCCCTCCCGTCAGCTGCAGGACGCGCGCACGCAGGCCCTGCTGGAGCGCTACTCCGAGCAGCTGCTGAGGATGACCGCCAGGAAGCTGGACTGCAGCTGAGGGCCGTCCGCGGCTCTAAACCAGTCATCCGCCCCAGGGCGGCCTTCTCGTACCCCTGTCCTCCAGCAGTGTCCCTGGGCTTTTGCCTGCAGAGCCTGCTTGTCAATGAGTTATTTTTGTCGGCGCTTTGCGTTTTAGATATTGCGGTAACTTTTTAAAAATCCCGCGGCGTGTGGCCAGAGCACGTTCCGTCCTGATGAGACCGCCGCGGGTGCCGTCTCTCGCTCGTGATGGCGGCTGCCCTGGGAGTGGACTTCGAGTTCCACGCTGGCTGTCTGCGCCAGCACCTTCACCTGCAGCGCCTTTCTTTTGTTTCTTCGGTACCTGCTGCTTCTAAGGAACGACGATACATCATTTTTATTCATTATACAGTCTTATATCTATATATGCGGTTAGCGTTGACACCGGACAGTTTTCATGTGAATTGCGCCGTGCACTTTCCTCCCGGGTTCTTAAGGTCACAAGCGTGTGTGATATTGATATGTACAGCATTGTTATTTTATTGTTTTGCGTTTGAATGTGGGGTGGGGAGCAGTATTTATTACGAAACCAAAGAAAGGGAGCGAAGCAGATAGACTGCGGTGGTTATGGGAGATTGTGAAGCTGTGATGTAAATATTTTGCTGTTTTTATATTCATACCAGTCTGTGCCTTGAGGAACGCTGGTAAAGAGTGAAAATCTGTCTTTTTGTGTCCTTGTCCTTGTTTTATATTGCACCTTTTAATCGGTCTTTAAAGAAAATAAAAGTTTGTTTTATGCTTTCTTCCTGTGTTTGTGGTGGTATTTAATTCCCGCCCCCCAGAGTAGACGCTACGGAAAAACCGCCCCCACTTTCCAGAGCCCGTCACAGCCGCCACCTGTCAGGGCGAATTCCTGAGCAAACAGGCCCGTGGGCAGAAATGAAATGAAACGGACCAAGAAGAAGGTGTAAAGTCACGTAGTTTTATTCATGCAGCTTTCGGAAGCGGCCATCACTGTAAGGATGCAGGTCGGAGAGACGCTGCGGGCTGGCCAGAGGGCCGTCAGTGCTTCTTGTCCTTGTGCTTCTTCTCCTTCTTGCCTTTCCCCTGGAAAACAGAGCGGAGACGGTGAGACCGGAGCAGCAGCCCGAGTGGCTCCTGCAGCCGCCTGGAGCTGCTCAGTCCCGGGTGGCTGAATCAGCCGACACCCCCGCTCCCCGATGAACCGACGCGAGTAGTACGGGGGGGGGCGCGGTCGAATCGCATCGTTTACCAACAGGGAGCCGGTGGGCACGGTCTTCCGCTCCGAGCGCTGCCTTCGTCCTACAGCGCTTTGCTGCGCCGGGTGCGAGCCTGGGGCTGTCGCTGGGCAGCGCCTCTGTGCGCAGCGGGCTGACCGGAAGCGAGCCGGACACGGAAGCGACCGCTGCTTTCCCGAGGACGCGAACATTCGCGAGACACCTGCTGGTCTTCAGAGCCGCAGGTCTAGACGGGTTGCGGTGCACTTTTCACTTTGTCACAGGAGTGCGCGCTTACGTTGGAGGCTTGGGGGGGGAGGGGGCTACTAAAATGTCTTTTTCAGAGTGAAGGTGACGCGAGGGGTTCATCTCGGCGCCCTACCTTCCCGTCGTCCCCGCCGCTGGAGGAAGAGGAGCTGTCCGAATCGCCCCCCTCGCCGTGTTTGTGGTGCTTTTTCTCGCCGTGTTTGTGGTGCTTTTTCTCGCCCTCCTTGTGCTTTTTCTCGCCGTGTTTGTGGTGGTCCTTGTCGCCCTCCTTGTGCTTTTTCTCGCCGTGTTTGTGGTGGTCCTTCTTGTCCTGAAAGAGAGAGGAGCGGTGCGGTGGGTCGGCAGCGGTGCCGCTTGGTTCACCGAACCCGCCTTTCGTGCTCGGGCCGCCGGCTCACCTTCTCCTGGTGTTTGTCTTTGCTCCAGAAGGCGTTGACCTCCTGGCTGGACTTGCCCTCGATCTTGGGCTCCACGGCTCCCGCCGGTTTGTCGTGACATTCGGCCGCTGGAGAGAAGCAGAGGGTCGGGCTGGGTCAGGGTCACACCGGGAGCTCCCGGAGCCGGGGGTCAGGGTCACACCGGGAGCTCCCGGAGCCGGGGGTCAGGGTCACACCGGGAGCTCCCGGAGCCGGGGGTCAGGGTCACACCGGGAGCTCGCGGAGCAGGGGAGTCCGGGGCTGCCCGGGGGGCTGGAGTCCTGTGGCCAGCGAAGACTACCGTATCGCCATTCGCGTGGCCAGCCAGGGTGGACGACAGATCAGTCCACGGTTTTGTCAAGCGAGCGAATATTAAGGTGTGAACCGGAGTAACCCTCTCCCACTACCCTCAATCCCACCTTTCCTGGAAGGTTTGAGCGCCTCAGTCGAGAAAAATGAGGATTTTCCCATTTTCGGGGTCGACGCGGGGAGCATAATGAAGAACGTGCTGACGTGGGCTTGTGAGTGTGGTTTTGGTTGTAGAAAACGATTGGCTGCTCAGGTTGAAGGAACTGAGTCTCTTTAGTCTGCAGCCGGGGAGGGGACCTGAGCTCAGTCAGCTAGACGACTGCACCTACAAGTGCAAACACCGTGTAAATTCTGTTCAGGGTCTTGGTCGCCTGCACAAGCGCGGTTTGAGGCAGAACCGAGCTCTCTGGCCCGAATGCCCCCCCCTGCGCCACACTGAGAAGCTCCAGTCAGGCCGGAAGCCACCTCGCGCGCGAGACGGGTCCCGTGTCCCCGCGCCGCGGCCAGGTGCCACGAGCGGCGCGCGCACGCCGCCGCCTGCGCGCTCAGCGCCGAGGTTGCTGTTGTTTTTGGCAAGAAAAGCCTGTCTGGCGAGAACGGGCTGGGCAGCGGGTGTCAGAACCGGTCCCAGGGGAGGTATGCGGAGGAGAAACGCCCTGCTAGCGCAACAGGCGACAGCGCCCTGCTGCAGGTTTCTCCCTGTGCCCGCAGCCCGAGCCACATTAAACAGACCGCGGAGGTTTACTGAGGATTAGAGGGATTACGAATCGCGTTTCTCTCCGCAATGCGAGGTGGCGACAGTTGTTCTGGAGGTCTGAGATGGAGACTCCTGCATCTCGCACGAGTTTCGCGGTCTGCTCGGACACCGAAGCTGGTGTCGCACGAGCAGTCGCTCCACTCCGGCTGCGGAGGCCGTGGCGACTCGTGGCGTGACCGTCCGGTGCCACGGGCTCGCGTACCCGCCGAGGAAGTCTGCGGTCCGACACGGGTGGGGAAAAGACGCAGCGACGCGCCGTACCTGCGGCCAAATCGGAGTCCATGTCTGGGCGGTTGTCTGTCCCTCTGGCGATGGAGACGCGTCCTGTGGCTCAGTCGGGCGGCAGCAGACTGTCGAGGCGTCTCTGCGACCTGCGTTTCCCCAGCTGTGGGCGGCGGTCAGGTAGAGATGTGATAAACACACCCACACACACGCGTGATACGTGTGGCGCACCCACGAAATTCTATTCACAAATGATCGTAGAATAATAATAAAATGATGATGATGATGATTAATACTATTACTACTACGACTTATAATAATAATATGATGATGATGATGATTACTAATAACAATAATAAAAAAATGTTTTGATTCTTGGTTGGAAAGAGCTCAGGGAAGGTGACTCTGATATCCTTAGGGATAGAGCTCCAGAGTTTTGGGGCGCAGCAGGAGAAGGCCCTGTCACCCCCAGAGTGTAGGCGGGCTTGGGGGACAGACAGGAGAGCAGGGTCAGACGAGCGAAGGCTGTGAGGGGGAGCAGGGCGGGAGCCGGGCAGACTGAGCCATGTGCAGCCTTATGGACGAGCAGGAGGGAGGCGCGTACGGGGCTCCTGCACCAGGAGGACCTTGGACGGGTCCGGCTGGCCGGTGTTTGCTGTGGAAATCGGACTCTGCTGACCTGTCGAGCCGTAGCTGAACTGCAGCCTTTCGTTGTAGGAATTTAAGCATCTCGCAGTCGCCTGCAGCTGCTCCCGTGGTAAAGGGACCATGCAGACCCCACACAGAAGGTGCCCCAGTCCAGAGTTGGTGAAACCCGGCCTCTGATGTCAGTTCGGGTCGGAGAGCCGTTGTCTGGGTTTCATACAGGCATGTGACACGATGACGATCGCCTGCCAGCTCTGCAGCGCGATACGGCGTAAACACGAGACTAGACTGAAGCAGGGAAATGAGGAGGGCCCCAGTAATTGCAGAACGTGTAGGGGTACGTCTGAAGGGCCGCAGCAGACGGTGGTTTCGGAAGAGGCGAGTCCTGAGCTCAGCGAGCGCGCAGTGTCCCTGCGGGCGTCAGGAGCCACCTGCGGCCGCGCCTCCCCGCACAATTGTGTAAGAAGAGAGAGACAGAGACAACAGGCAGTGTGCAAAACAACAGCAGGCAGTGTGCAAAACAACATCCAATGTGCACAATCATACATCAACAGAATGAAATAAAGGATAGAAAATTATGGGGAGTGAACTTCTTGACTTGAGGCAGGGGTAGATTTCAATGTGTTTGAGTTTTTGGTAAGAAAGAAGGCACTGTGAGGTTCAGATCGTAGGTGAGAGAGACTGGGAGTTTGCTAGTGCGGGGGTAATCAATAATGTCAATCTTGGGAGCCGTAATATCCGGTGGAGGGTTTGTCTGCGATGCGGCAACGGCGATTCGGGATTGAAAGGACAGGACCTGCATGAGCGAACTTCACCAGCCCACAACAGCGCTTCAGACAACCCGAATCGCTGAAGAGTCACGGGGCGTCTAGAAGCGTTTGGGGTTCGGCTGTTTTTTTTTTGGGGGGGGGGGGCTTTTCTGCGACAAGACTGAGCCTCTAGTGGCCGAAAGGGAGGAGCGTGAGGAAACTTCTCGCGCTTATCTTAGGCAAAGGGTAAAGATGGGATTTCTGGTTTAGCTCGTATTCAATTTGCCTCTTTTCTGGGGAGACCTCGTGGAAGTACTGTCCGTTTACCACTGGCAGCTGGTCGACTGTAACTACAGTTGTGCAGAGTGGAAGGTTGGTGTCTTATTGTATTTTGCACTAGCCTGTCACTATTAGAAATTGCTGTTGGTGAAGGGTGCAGTTCTTCGACTCGAGTCCCCCATTCCCTGCAGCGCCAGTGCTGGACCAGCAGGCGGCAGCAGAGAGACCCGGAGCCTCGCCTGGTCAGTACAGGGCCTGTTCCTCCCAGCACCTGCTTGGACAAGTAGTCGTAAATCCGAGCTTGAGAGCAGCTTGTACGCGTGAGGAGCAGGCTGTGCAGTCTGGCACAAAGGCGATACAGGCCTTCAGGGCTGAGAGGTGGTCTTCGAGGAAGTGATTCTTGTACACAGCAGTGCACTATATATTATTAAAAGCCTTGAAGTCTTGCTTTTTTGCAGCAGCCTGATTAGTAGGAGGAGTGAGGGCTTTAACAGTCTGGCAAAGAAGGTGACCTCTTTGTCCAGGTCAAAATGTTTAGGACTTTTTCCCCCCAGTCTTTGCTGCGCACCAGTGACCTGGAGTGTGGGATCAATGGCCTGCAGTGCGGTGGTGCTGCTGAAGTGTGACGGTCCGGTTTTCTTAAGGCCCCCCCAGCCATCTACTTGACAGCGACGACTGGGACAGTTTATTGCAGAAATCATTAGGGAAACGTGACCCTAGCAGACGTGCCGCTGTGCTCAAGCGTGGGGTCTTTGTGGCGAGCCGGGCTCTGTGTGCTGTCCGCGCTGGAACATAAGAGCCCCCTTTTCCCGATAAAGGAAGGAAAGGATTTTTTTGGTCTTTCTGTTCTAGGCAGGAGGGGCCCCCCTGAACTACCATCAGTACCGAAATAGTTTCAAGAGGAATTGTTTGACAAAGAAGGACCTTAATTCCTGGCGGATCTTTTTCATGTCCGTAGAGTGATGGCAAACTCAAGGAGGCTCTGAATTTCCAGCAGCAGGTCGTACCTTGTGTGGGGGAGGAGACTGCCAGTGTCTGCACCACTCGTTCATGAAGGAGAACCTGTCGTAGCAGTGAGAGGCCAGGTACTCCTGTGATTTGGGGGTCATTGTTCAAGTACATGGAGAGAATTTGTTCTTTGTCTCAAACCTCATCTTATCCCCTTTTAAAGAGGAATAACTTTCTAGCTGTTTGAGTCCTTATCAAGAGGAACATTTAACTGACTGTGGACTACCGGCCCGGGGCCTGACGTCTGTGACTCAGCTGGAGAGTCCAGAGGTGTGTGAGGGTGGAGTTGGGCGAGGAGGGGCAGGTCAATTTTTGTTGTGGGGTGGGTGGGTACGTGGTGTGGCTTTATTGATTTATAGCATGGTTTCCATGGAACGTTCCCCTCTGCTCAGCCTTCCTGATCTCAGCCCCTCCCGTTATGGTGCTCTTTTACTTCTTAATTTCATATTTATTTCTACAATTCCTTTCTCCAAAGGTTTCAGTGCAGTCATTTGTGACTTGTGGCTTGCTTACAGTTTGAACTAACAGATCGTGTTTATTGTTATTCTGTTGTTATTAATGTTCCTATTACTTTCAATGTAAAATACATGTCATCTTTGTAAAAAGTGTGCTGCTTGTTCTTGTTTGTAAGGTACTGTATGCATTATGAGTTCTTCGGAGGAGTTAATAAGTTTTCTAGTTATTAATTTGTCATAAACAATACAATAAGGTTGGAGTGGGTACTGTACTGTGTGCTGTATGGGAGAACCACAAGTTTGGGGAGCCCCTTTCCAGGATCTTGCACTGGGACCCCACAACAGCGCTGGGCGGCCCTGCCCCTCCCCCGTCTCACCAGATCACAGCTCTGTCCTGCCGGGACATATGAGCAACACAGGAAGCCCGCTCCTCCTGGGACGTCCCGGACCAGCGGGCCTGCAGGGGTCCCAGGCTGCTCGAAACCAGGCGACACCAAGATCCCTCTGCTGTCCTCTTCCTCCTCTAGTTGGGGACCCCTGGCGAAGGGAGCCCCATTCAGGACTCCTGCTGTGCCTCCCGGTGGACTTGACCCCGAGTTCCCCCCCTCCCCCCCCAGGCCAGAGGTACTGAGGTGCTCCGGCCTCCAGTCACCACAACAGAGCACCCTGACAGAGCCCGGAGAGAGAACCTTTATTTCATCTCCTCTCCTGAACACTCGGCCTTAACGGGAACACAGAACTGTGAGCGACCCAGCCCCCCAACCCACACACACACACACACCCCTCTGAGCACAACAGCCCCACACACACCCCTCTGAGCACAACAGCCCCACACACCCCCACCCTCTGAGCACAACAGCCCCACACACACACACCCCTCTG